GTTGAGATGCAATCGTTTCATGCAATAAAGATATCCCGTTCAAGAGAACATTAAGGATAAACTTTAACCATGTATAAACCTTTACATGTCTCTTACTATTCCGGTTATTCCGTTTAAGAAAAATGAAATCGTGGAAAATCGATTACAAAATCGAAAATGGCATTCAATTTTATTTATTATCGAAGAAAAGTTGGTGGAACAAGATTTTTATTATTATTAGACGTAATCAAAAACCGATATATATTTTAATATTTTACCTTTTGCTATTGGATAGAAATTTCGACGAAGTGGAAGGGCCTGTTTCATGTGGGTCCCCTCAATGGTATCCTTTGGTTCCTTTGAGAGTGAATAAGAGTGAATAGTTACCGAGTAGATCCACTTCTAGCCAACTTGTATCTTCCCATTCCTTGTATTGGATCCTTGACTCTAAGGTTAATGATACGCTGCTGGATATCGTTTATTCCGCTGGTGCAAAGCTAGATTGAACGTGGGGTAATATCGCATTCGATTTTTTAATTTTAAAATATGAAAGAAAAATTTCGATATCCCATTTGTAATGTTAATTGTTTATGGAAAAAGAGTAAATGAAATAAATGGATTTGCGATAAATGGTATATGAAAATATTTGAATGAAAATATTCGATCGAATAAATATATAAGTATATGTGTGACAAGCATTGTTGTTGAAGTAAGCAGAAAAAAATGATGGAAAATCAAAAACTCGGGGAAAATGGTTCGATCTCGGTTGATAAAATTATTTTAAAAAATTACTTTCTTCGAATAAATCGGAGAATCGTGGAACGGTGCGTTTACAGCGGTACAATTGTAATAAACAGCTGCCTTTCCAGCGAAATTAAAACCGAGCCATACTCGTAAACCAAGCTTTTTCATAAACGCTTACACGCGATACACGTGAAGTTACTTTTTTCATGTGTTTTCGCGTATTTTTTATCGCGTATTTCCCTTTGTTTTTTTCTCCCTCCTCGCGGCCTCCCTTTTTTTTTCTTCTTCTTTTATTCGTTACATTTCTAGCCAAAGATGAACGGGCTTTAATAAAAACTGTCGAAAAAATTCAGGAGCCAGATGATCGTAAAAAATAGACCTTTATTAAAAATTGAACGAGTTTTTGTAGATTTTCGAAAAATCTACAAAACGGTAAAAAAAAAGAAAAAGTGATGAACGTTACAGTGTTTCCGGGCAACATACGCGATAAAACGCAACACAGGCGTAAACAAATCCTCTCCGAAATTCCATCCCTGGAAATGTTGCGTTAGAGATCAACTTATCGAAATTAATTTTATGTAACCCGAGCCGAATCGCATGAAAACGGGCAAGAAACGGAACGATCCCTCCCGAAATCCACTTCCGGACAATCGTATATTTTCGCGAAACGTGAGTCGACCATGAAAACTAGAAACCTAGGCTTTCAATTCAGTTTTGCGTCGAACAAAATTGAAATCGAAACAGAAATCGCTCCCATCGCTATATCTTTTCTCTTTCTATGAAATTAATCGAGATTCATTATTTGTTTAAGTTTTAATAATTTAACCCGAGACTGAATCTCCACGTGTAACGAATTTATTTCATCCGCAATATCGTCGTTTCAATCGTTTTAATCGGGACGAAATTCTTATTCGAATTCCATCGATACTCGAGAAATTTTTTTTTTTTTTAAATTTCACGATTAAGCGTGAGAGAACTCGACGAAATTGAAATGATATTCATGTTTCAAAATCGATTTCGCGTAACGCATCACGAATTCTTTCGTTTCGCTGAAAACGACGATTGAAAAAAATTCATTCTTCGTATCGGTAGATATAGATAAGTTTGCAAACGCGTGTTCTAATTACGAAATTAATGTAATTAGAACAACGATGATAAAACGGAACGATTCATCATTTCCTTGTCGTTTCGCGAATTTATCGATCTGCATTTATGACCGTGTCCATCGCTCGTCGTGTTATCATCGTATTTATCTTAATAACTTCGTTTTGTAAAATATTTTAAAGAGTGAAAATATATTGTTTGTTGATTTAAAATATTATTTGATGAAAATTGTTTATATCAATCGTTTGATAATAGCACGAAATACGTAAAAATTTCATTCATGCGAATGAAGACAAATTCTTCTATTTTCTTTGTAATTCTTTTTTTTTTTTTGTAGATATTATAAAATAAAATTCATTTTTTTTTTTTTAATATTTCCTTATCCAAAATTATCGCACTATTCTTTTTTTTTTTTTTTCAAGCTTGACCCAATTGCGTAAAATACAGTGAATTAGATCCATCAATCATAATAGTTTTTAGAACTCCTATCCGATTCCGGATTGCAGTTATACCTTTGCACCAAAATGATACGTGCATTTTGGGATTTCATGCCCGGTGCACAAAATCCGATAAAGCTTACATGTGATAGGTGGCTCAGGATCGAACCTAGAACCATCTTTCTTTTGGCTGCATCTTGGAAGAGGATCGAAAAACTTTGCTCGTAAATGTGTTTCGTTCTAACCCCTTTTCATTTTTCTCCCATAATTCTTTTTTTCCCACTGAAATCCCATGTAATGAACGCCGAAAGAATTTCGCAAATTTTACACATTTTAATTGTACTTACAATTACATATTTTCTTTTTGGAAAAAAAAAAGGAAAATTATAAGACTATATTTCGCCTCGTTCTTTATCCCTATAATATACCAACTATCCAACAACGTTACTAGGGCTCGAAAATTGCAAATGCAATTTCTACGGAGCTATTTTATGTTGAATACACGAATGCAAGTGCAATCCGCAATCGCGAAGGAATCCCTGGGAAGGAATTAAAGCTGACACGAAGAGCTCTCAAAATATCTACCCGCACAACGCCATCGCTGTTTGTGTGATCACAAATAAACGCACACGCGCAGCCTCTCCTACGTAATCTGCATGAAATTACGGAATAACGTATAATTAAAGTGCCATTAAAGATACGCCTATACGGAGATTGATACTTAAATTTAGATACCGATACTTAAAAATTTCGATGTTGAATATTTCTGATAATGTTGATGAACTTTTAATTTTTCGAAAATAAAGTAAAAACGGTTGAATGTCTCGTATTAGAAACGATAAGGAATGCTAACTTCTGGTCGATTGTTCTCATTTCATCGTTTAATTTTATGTTTTATTGGAATCAATATGACATGGATTTATTATTTCTCTTGCAAACAGTAAAACTTTGCGAATAAATATAATTAATTAAAAATAGATATTATAAAATCTCTATTGTAAATACGAAATGAATTTTACTAAATGTGATTTGTAAATTTTAGGAATAAATATTCTTAAAATTATTATTTAAAAAAATATAGTTTTTCGAAAGGAATTAAATAATAAATGAAGATAATTGTGAATATTAAAAAAATTAAATATAGATTGTATGAAATTTATTTTTGAAAAATACATTTACATTTCTTTTGCAAAATATTATACATTAGTAAAAAGTCAGTATCTTAAATATATAATATATATATAAAATAATAATATAGAATAAAACTTAATAACTGTTAGAGTAGTATTTCTGATTGATCAGCAAATTCGAAGATGAAATTACTGTTAAAAAAAATGTTTATACTTAATTATTACTTTTCAATGTTGAATTTTATTATAATTTACAAATTTAAAAAAAATCATATTTAATTACTAAAATATTTTATGTAATTAAGTCACAGAAAAGTTCATATATTTACATTTTATAAACCAAATTAAATATATGTATACTTTATATTGAGTATTAACGAATAATTTGCATCAATCTTTAATTTGAGAATCATATTTTAATTGAGAATCATATTGTCTTAATTTTAACAATTTTCTTTTTGTAATCTATCTTCTATTCGATTCATTTTATGAAATCTTAAAAATTTATTATGATAAATTAGTCATTTTTAAAAATATTTTTGCTTATTTTATAACATTAACATTTCTTTTAAAATTTTTACAAACAAAAAAAAAAAAAAAAGAAAAAAAGTTTAAGAAAAAAAAAATTTAATTTGACAAGAAGCAATTTTCTGTACAAAAACTTTTAAGTCAAAAAATGATAATATATGAAAATGATTTATCTTTTATAATATTACTCTATTATATTGTCTATTGATTTACTGTTTTAATTTACACGAATATGTAACTTTCTGATTGAATGTTACATTATCACAGAAACTGATATCTATTGAATCTATAAGAATCCTGTACAGTATCATATAATACATGTCTTTAATTATTATTGGTCATCATAATTTCAATTATTTCTTTATATATTACAAAAAAAATAATTACATTATTTATGACTAGGTATTAATTTTTTTTCTATCAATGTTTCTTGTCAATATTAAAGTTTTTATACACTAGATTATAAAGTTTGGTATGATATTAAAAATATTTTTGACAATCAAGCTTTACTTGTAATACTTCTAACAAAAAAAGGAACTCGAAAATTCAAAAAATTATGATACTTTAGAGATATATAACATGTTTATGTAGATATATCTTATGAATTTTTTTTTTGCTACCCAAAATCTTTAAGGAAATGAAATCAATCTTTTCGATTTTACGTTATAACTCGCAAACTGTAAGAAAAATAACTAAAACAAAAAAAAATTTCAGATAAAAGTTATTTCTTTTCATAAAGATTATCGTCTCGTTCTCGAAAAATTTAGTTTGCAAGTTTGCAAGTTTATAACGTAAAATGGAAAAATAGCTAAATTTTTAAGGATTGATTTCACCGCTTTAAAATAATTTTGGCGCCAAAAAAAATTGTGTAAACATATATAACATATACAAACATTACATATTTCTAAAATTTTATAATTTTTTGAATTTCTGAGTTGGGGATCATTTTTTGTAAGATAAATTTTGTTAATAATTACAATATTGAAAACAAATAACAATAAATTTTATAAAAATTTAAATAATATTTTTCCTATATTTTCATTCAAAATTATAAATAATATACTAAAATTTTTTATTTTTTATATACATACCTAAATAAAAAATAAAGAAATACTGTAATGTTTCAATTTTTGATTTCTGAAATTAGAATAAAATTTCAAATATATCATAATTAAATAGTCATAATAGTCATAACTCTATATAACTACAATATAATTCAATATATTTATATACTTACATTTTTATTATTTATTCTTTTATATCGCATGTGCAAATATCTATTTTATTCTCTACACATTCTACTGGACATTCTTTTTCTAGTTTTATATCTTGAATTTTCATTTTTATTGGCTTTTCATATTTACATATTACAGCGTACATATCACCACCTAATCGACGCGCTAACCATCGATTTTTAACAACTGCTAATTTTAAACATTCACAAGTCATCTTTGCATGAAAATTCGTATGAAGTGTTCTACCCATTCCTTCCAATACAATAAGATCAACATCATGTTTCACCATTGCAAGACATAAGTCTAAGTTCAATCGGCTATTAAAATAATTCGTAAAAATAATACTTAAAATAATCATCTTGATTATATATCATAATAATTACCTTAAATCAAGACAAGGTCCAGCCTGAGCAGTCTCCATAGCAATCAAACGATTTTCTTTTAGAGCACGTCTAATAACTTTGCATATGTTCGATGCATCTCGTAATGTTACAACCAATTCTGAATATGTAACATCATTTAATGCTGGCATAGAATTAGCACATAATATAACCTAAAATAATTTTTATTTTAATTTAATTAATGTATTATGATCAAATTGAAAGATATATATTTCAACTAACTTTTGTTCCTCGTAATAATAGATCACGAGCAAATGGTAAAATTCCTAATATTATATCAACTCCACTATTATCAACGAAGATAGCAGCACATTTATGTGGTATACCTATTTCTAATCTTTCTATCCAATCATCCAAATTATCAACTAACCAAGGTCTACCTAAGTAAAAAAAATATATTAATTTTATCAAGATTGTCTCTTTCGATAAATTACGATCGTAAATATTACAATGCAGAAATACCCGGTATTTTCGCTTGAGCTTCGGCAAAACCAAAATCTGTTGTTTCCATCAAAGTTGCAACAGCTTGTGCACCCCAATCAAACATATTACCACTCAAAACTCCCAATATTAATGCCTTTATTTTTTCCGCTTCTTCCAATTTATCAATAGTTATTATGCGACTTTTTAAATATTTTAAAGCTTCTTCATTTTCTTTCTTCTTTTGCTATATATAAAATAAATGTTATAACATATTACAAATTAATTAAATATATACTTGATAGAAATCCTAATACAAGAATAAACATAAGAATAAACTTTTCTGAAACTTACAAATAAATAAGGATCAGGAAAATCGAATTCCTTCATGCAATGTTCAATAGTGTCCAATAATACTCTCACTGTAAGTGTCCCATAAGCACTATAATTCATTATATTACGAATGATAAAATTATAATATATTTTTATAAAATGTTAGATTTTTATTATTGAACAAAACTTACAATGGTTCAAGATGTAGATAATGCAACCTGTCGACATATTTTTTCTTCAATTTTGTTGCTCTATCTTTTGCAGTTGGACTATGTGGTTGACTGTGAAGAGCTCTAGCTATGAATTTATCTACTGATTCTTCAAAACATTGAAGCCAATAATCTCTATAAATATTTATATATCATTTATATTTATATATCATTAAAAAATGTATATAATATAAAATTATTTATAATTTACCTAGCTTCTTTATCTTCGGCAAGATCAGTTGTATCAGGATTATAAGAAGCTGGATCTTTCAAAAGTGGACAAAATGTAACAGCAGTTTCTGCTTGGTCAATTTCTAATTGATCTATTTTAATTCCAAGATTAGTGCATGCTGTATCTTTAAATCCTGAAGATCCAGCATAATTTTCCAACCAGTTATATTCATTAGATTGTTCAGCACCATATAAAAATGCTCCAATTGCACCAAGATAACCTTCATGCCGAAGAAAAAGAGGTTTCACTTTTCCCTATTTTATAAAAAAAAATTTTATATATATATTATGCTTACATAAGAGAAAAATGAAAAGTTTAAAACTAACACGAGACCAATATTTGATGGAACATGAAATAGTATGCATTGATAGAGGATGATTACGAAGAAAATAACCACCAAAATAAACTTTATTCATGTTATGCATAGTTGCATGTAAACTTGCTATTTGTCCAATATCATTACTTATGGTAAGTAAAAGACTTCTAACAAGATCTGCTTCAGAATATTTTGGTTGTCCTAAAAATAAATAAAAACATTTATTCGTTATTAATATTTGATTTGGTAATAATTAATACATAAATTATTTACTTTTTTTGTCTACTTACCATCACTATTATAAAAAGTAGCTTTGCCAAAAGAAGCTGCAATAAGATTTCCAGGTAAACCTTGAGAAGCATAATCACCCCCATAAATATCTTTCACTAACATATCAACATTACGATGATCTCCTCTTTCTGCAAGTTGCAACAATTCATCAAAGCCCTAATAAAATATTTTTAATTATTTTTTAGTATTATATTTATTTGTTTCAGATAGAGATATAACAATTAATAATTTATATATATATATATATATATATATATATCGCATAATAATAATAAAAATAATAAAAAATATATATAATATATATGAAGAAATTAATAAATATAAAAAGATTTATATCAAATTATTAATACCTTTTTTTTTGTGAGCAAAAAGCCTAATCCCCAAAATGTTCCTCCTCCTGTAGCTGTACCACCAACTCTTTCAAATACTTCATCAGATTCAACCTGAAAATATCATATATATTTTAAAAATAAAGAAGAATTTAGACAATTAATTATTATATTTGTAACTTACTTTAAGAATACTGACACCACTACCAATATTTACTAACATATATGGAAATATGTTAGGACCAGCTTTTTGAAATTTATATTCAGGATTTCCATATCTTTCAAATTCAAATGCTTCACAAGATATATTTTTTAGTAAAAAATTACAACCTTTTATTAGACATGCAATCTCATCTTCTTTATCAATTCTAAAATAATGTTTTATTTACTTTATTTTTGTTAATAGTACTTATTAAATTATATAAATTTTATTTAATAAATATAAATAACAAATATTATATAATAAATATTTAGTAAATAAATATAAATTATATTTAATAAATTTAAATATTATTTTAAAATACTTACATTAAACCTAATTTTTCTTGTAGCAAAAAATTAAATTTATATGCTCCTCCACCAGTTACTTTAATATTTTTGCCATGAAATCTTTCAACATTTACTAAATTTTTTTTTACAAAATCCAAACAATTTTCAAGGTATCTAGTCTCAAATTTAACAAAATGAAGTCTATTGCCTTCATGTACTTTGTATGTACGTTCTCCAGTATTTCCTAAACCTGTATCCTCGTATAATGCTTTACGATAACTAATTGTTGAATAATAAGCTATTTTTGTCAAAGATAATCCTGTAATTAAATGAAAATCAAAATAATCTTGAATTGTATTATTAAAGGACTATGATGATTTCGAATTTTAAAAATTAAAAATAAATATATATAATTTTCAAAGACCGTTTGAAGGATAACCTTATAATTGAATTTATATAAAATACATAAAATCTTTCACAGAATATTAATAAAATATACAACATAATACATACCAATATCAATAGCAAATTTTTGAGCATTTTTCAAATTTGCAAATACTTCAACTGCACCTGGTAATTTTATGGAATGATTTCGTTCATTCGTTTCCATTTTACATTTATCTTAACGAAACTACTATACTTCGAACAGTAGGTGTTTTCACAATTAGCAATCGGTATACATCACGTTAAATAATAATTTTATCAATATTTAAATATTTGTTAATAAATATCACATATATGCAGTGAAAAATTTTCTTATCTCTAGGACATACATCAACGCGCATGAATTAAAATTTTGTTTACTCGAAATTTATCGCGTTGATCTAAAAAAATGGCTATTAACATTAGATAGATAGAAGCGCCCCATTCATATACATAATGGTAACATTTGATTTTAATAAAAAATTATGCACAAAACTTAATTATATATGCAAAGCAAATTATGATAAAAAAATAATATACATTAATTATTTAAACAATTTAATAATAAAGATGATTCTGTACTGTATTTTTGGTAGGGAAAAAATCTATATAAGAATTTATTACAGTAAAGCATAAATTATCTTTTTAATTTAAATTATCTTTTCTAATTTATACATATCTAATTCTTATAATATATTTATATATTAATATTTGCAATTTTAATTTGTTTGATATAGCAACACTTATAAAATGTCTGATAAAAAAAATTATGTTATTTTATATGTTCATAAATCATATATTATTTTATTTATAATTAATTTATATCACAAAATTTAAAAAAATAATTTAATAAAAAATACATTAAAAAAATATTTTGTAATAATTAAAATATATTAAATAATTTAGATTTTACAATATGTTCCTGAAAATTTTTACTAGAATATTTATAAAATATAATACAATAATTTACAGTATATTTGCAATTAAAATTAATTATATTGCACTTTCATAAATATATATATATATGTATATGTATATATAAATATATATATATATGTATATGTATATGTAAATTGTTAATTACAAAGAAACTGAAATTTAATTACATATAAATATTATTATCAAATATTATTCATACAGTTACTATTTTTAGTTAAGTTTATTATATATATTATACTAATAAAATTACTATGTATTATATTGATAAAAATAATGCTTAACAGTTTATTAAAATGTATAAATACTAAAAATGCAAGAACAAAATTAAAATATTTTATATTATTAAGTATTTTATACATAAAAAATAATTATTAATTAAATGTTTTATTACAAGTATAAGTTTTTTATATATCTATGTATTTTATACAAAATTTTTATCCAATATATTTATATCAATCATAATTTATATATTTTTTAAAACACACTAATCACGCATATTTTTAATTATAAGCGCATATATTATATTATACATGTATTAACAATTATTTATTATAACAAAATTATGATTGATTCAGAATCTAATTATGAATTTCTTAATTTTTAATAAAACTAAAAAAGTTTGTAATTTTATATTTGCAAGTTTTAAGTTTTAATCATTTTTGTTTTTTTCATTTTCATTTATTATTTTTAAATTATTTTGTTTTATCCTTTATTATACAGTCCATTTGAAATATCAAACATGTAATTTCCCTGATAGAGACCCTGTTTATCAAAATCATATATATGTTCTAAAATTTTTACTTAAACAGATTTTGTATTCTTTTCTTTTGACAAAAGAGGAATTGATTTCAATTTAATATTCTGTAATAAATTATATGAGTCATATGTACAATATTTATCAGATAAGAAAGGAATATAAAATGCTCGGAAAAATCGGTGTGATCTAAAAAATAAATAAAAAATTCAATAAAATATTAAGTTAATAAATATTATAATATAAGAAAATTCATGTAACATATAATTCACTTACTTTGCTGAATTTAAAAATTTGGATGATTTTATTATTGTGAAATTATCATTGAATCGAGAATAATTTGGTTCTAAAATTGTTTCAATACCATTGTCCAAGTCTAACACAAAATGGCATTTATCTAAATTAAACTACAATAATATGCATTAAATTAGTTAAATTCAATAATAATTATATAAAAAATCTATGCAAAAATCTACATTTTAATATCTTCATATTGCGTTATAATTAATAGCTTACATAACGTGTAGATTCTTCTTTATTCATATCATTAAAATAGGGTTGTATAATACTAGTTGCATTTTCATGGTTTAAAAAAGATTGTGGTAATTGACCTTTAAATTCTGACCTTAGATATTGAAGTTTCCAACTACAATATTTTTATTTAAAAATATGAAAAATTTTACATTGTATTTGTCAAGAAATGTGTTACTTACTTATTTGATGGAAAGAAAAAGCTACTTGGAAATCTGTGCCATTCTTTACCAATACAAAAATTAATATTAATATCCTTAGATATTTCTCTTTCTAAACCAAGTTTATTAGTATCAATCAGTACTTCCATTGGTGCATAATAACCTAATATTTAAGAAAAAAATGAAAAAATTTTATTTTAATTAACTTTCAAATTTTAATTAACCAAAACTTTTTACCTTTATATATTGCCAATGATCTTGATATTCCAAGAAGACCACATATTAAAATAGCAAAACATGTAATATAAACAGTATATTGCAAATAATGATAAGCAATATGTAAAGAACTAATTTTTGTCCTGATAAAAAAATATAATTTTTGAATAGTATCTACAGCTATACCTCCAGCCATGCAAATCATTGGATACACAGGAAACAAAAATCGTTCTTCCTGTAATATAAAAATATTATAAAAATATAAATATAATATAATATAATATAATATAATATAATATAATAAAAACATAATTAGATATATATAATGTTAAAAAATATTATTTAATTTACCTTATGAGGTTGTGAAAAAAACACTAGAAACCAAAGATACAATGGCGCCAAAGAATACCAGTAAGATAAACATAAACGATCTCTTGGTCTAGCTGGTACAATTAGCCACACTAAAAACTATAATGTTGATTATGACATCAAAAATTATAAAGTTTTAGATTATTGTTTTCATAAATATTACCAATCCAAATGGAGCACAAATAGCACCAATAAAAACGAAATTAAAGTTTAAAAATCCATTATAAATATAATAGCTGAAAGGTTCTATTCCATAAATATTTGGCCCATGATTAGTAAAAACATTGTACATTACAATATTTAAAGGTGCTATAACTAGTTTACCATAATACATTGAATCAATCCATATCATTGGTATTAAAACAACAGTACCAGATATTACTACCCATTTTATAAATTTATTCCATTCTTGTTTATGTAATAACATTTCTATTGCAATTGGTAACCTGCAAATTGATATGAAAAATATTTATATAACTATTTAATTTTTACACTTTAATTTTCTATATAGTATAAAAGAAAATACCCAAGTAATGCTGCAAATGGCCATCCTAATAAAGTAGATAAAGCTGTAGCAAAAATTGCTAATTCATACTGACGCCCATACCATGCTGCTGTTGCAATAGTACTCAAATACCTATATAAAAACACATAATATTAATTTAAATGATTTAATTTTGCACATTCATTTTATATATTATTATTTTTAAACAACATACATTGAAAAGGAGGATGGTAAAAATGCAGCACTAGCAATGTACATGCCAGAGCTAAGAATGAGAAATACTAATGTTAATCTGCCTATGTGAATTCCAAATTCTCTGCATACATTTCTATTAGAAAAATGATAATATTTTTTAATATTTTAAGATAAAATTTATCATTAATGAATCTATATTATTAACAATATAATATGATTCATAAGATATATACTTATAAAAATATACTTCAGACAATGCACAACCCACAGATAATAGGCATCTTACAAAATAGAAAACTAAAACAGGATTTGGTTCTAACAAGTAATGATAAAGTTTTGCTGGTACCATATGAATCAATAAATACATGTATGATCTTAATGCATATTGTGGGCTATATTCCCATGTTTGTTGACCATTGCCATAAAGTAGATAATGACTCTAAAACATAAAATATATGAAAGAAAATATTTTTGTAAAACAAATAATCTATTTATTAAAACAGAATAACATAAAACAAACATTATTAAAAATTATTTAAAAAAATTATTAAGAATTATTCCTTACTGGTTCCCAATAATTATATGTTTCATCACAATCTGTTATATGACTCCATATAGCAGAACAAAATCTAGCAGATAGAAGTAATTTAAATGCTGTATCCACACAAGGATAAATAAGACCAATATCAGAGGATTCTTCAGGTCTGAAACATACATTCTTAATTTTTCTTGAAATTTGTATTTAATTTTATGCACATTTAATTTTTATAATTTATAATTTTATTATTTTAGACATTTCATAGTAAACATGAAATAAAAAAATAAAAATACCTAATAATAATTAATAATAATACAAATTTTATAAAATAACATATAGATATTTGTAATTTCTTATTAAAACAATTAATATCAAATTGTCAAAGAAAAAAGGTTAACCGGTATATAATGTTTATTTTTATTAAATGTAAAAGAACACAAAATTTTTTTTCCATGTTTTATTATTAAGAAAAAAAAATTATTGTCTACTTTGAAAATCTTCTGCCATTCAACTTTTTCAATTCTTTCTTGGAAATAAAAAGCTGACGTTGACGTTGATTCGGCGCCATGATTTTTCAAAACCTTTGAAGCTAAATATTTTTTTAACTGTGTAACTATATTATTAAAATATTTAGAAATATTAAAATTTTATATATATCATTTTATTAATAGTAAAAATTATTTTTATGATTACAATTATGTAACACTAATTTATACAAATATTTTATATGTAATCTTATATATTTTCTTTATTATTGCATAAAAATATTTTCTTTATAAATTTCTTTTTTATATTATAATTTCCTTTTTTTTAAAAAATTTTCTATATATTAAACAATTAACATAATATATAAACATATCATATATATTTCCATAGTAACAATATAAACTTGTTAAAAATGGAGATTGAACATAAATATACATTTGTGCCTCTTGTTCAAAAAAATCTTATTAATATAAACGATAAAAAAATTCAAGAATTTCTTTCTAAATGGTAATAATATTAGTATTATCGTTATTGTCTATTTTTGATTTATATACATATTTGCAAAATTTTTTTATTCAAATTTAAATATAACAACTTGTTATAATAATAAGTTTTTTTTCAATTTTTAGGGGAATTAAAGGAAATTTTATTATCCAACATTTTACATTCAATGAACCTTTTCAAAAATATCATAAATATCATTTAGCTGAAGTCAGTATATTAATTATGTAGTTTTTATTTTAAAATGCTTTTATTTTAAAATAATTTTAAAGTAAATTTAATATTTTTATTATTTTTTCATTTTTTTAGGCTTTTTTTAAAGATAGTACTGTTGCTAAAGAATTATTAACAAAGCAAGGAAATTATTGGGCAAAACAAGGTAACTAAAGATATTTTTCTATATGATATTATATATTATTAATTTTTGTTTATATTTAATAGATATAATAGCATCAAGTGTAGAAATAAATCCTATTTCTTGTTCTGTTTTAAATATGTCTTTCTTCAATAAATTAAAAGATCCTAAAAATGGAATTGTGCACAAGTCTGGAGCAATTTGTAAAAGATTTGATATGGAAATAGAAAATTTTCTAATCTCTGATAATCTTAGAGCAGTATAGATTTTTACTTATTTATAATTATAATTAATTAGTTTTAATATATATATTTATTTATAATATATAATTATACATTCATTTATAATAAATTTATAGATGTTATTAGATGAAGAATGTCCAGAGTATAATTTATATTTAAAAGATGAACGAGAAGAATTTATATTTTTTATTTTTCAAATGCTTGTTCTTGGAGGAATATTGTGTCAATATGAAGATATTTTAAATCCATACTTAGAAGTAACAAGAGCTATGTATAAGGATTTAATAAAGTTGAGTGATATAATAGTTTTATAAGTATTCTGTTTATATAATAATAATTATACAATAAATAATTATATTTTTCTATTATTTAGAGTACAAAAAAATGAAGATAGTGATTTATCAATTAGTACAATAGTTTTACAGGTAGTAGCTAAAGATAATAAAGGAGAAGCATATTTTCCATATGATCCATCACATATGCAAAATATAGGATTTCTATTAATTGACAGTGTAACTCATGAAATTACAACATTTTTGCATCAGTTTGGCGAATATTGTCTTTCACAATGATTAAAAAAAATTTACAGAAAATTATATCATAAATATATTTTATGAAAAAAAAAACATTACTCCATATACCAAATCATTATATTATGAATTATTTATATTATATATTTATTATGTACTTAATATTCATTAATTTGTTAAAACATATTAAAAATTGATAATTTAAAATTTAGCAGTTTGTCTATTTAATTAATTAATTGTTATTAATAATATTAATACATAATTTAAGATATTATTTATTGATGCATCATTCACTTCATATATGTGTAAAATATAAATATAATACTATATATAAATACATTATAAATAATAATATTCTTTATTTGTAATGTTATCTTTTTCTGTATTATTATATTATTCTTAAAGATTATAATGTTTGTTAAGACGAAAAACATGAGGTAAATGTAAAAATTGAAATATAATTCTAATCACAGCATTTCTTTCATGGCTTGTGAATTTTTTCATGAAAATTTTTTTGCTATTTAATTTAAATAAATATGTATATTATTTTCTAAATGATAAATGTTTAATCTTTGCAATAACAATATTTTCTTAAGTGAAATAAAGAATTTTCTACACATCTTGCCTGAGACCCATACATATTAATTCTACTAACATCTGAAATCTAAAAATTTTGATATATTTATTTTTATTTTTTTATTTTTTGATGATTATATTAATGAATATAAATAGTGAACTTACTTTGGTCAAAAAACTACTTTTTTTTATATCGTAAGTAATACTGACTTCAAATAAAGCAGCTCCTGGTTCTGTTTTTACTTTTAATTGATAGGTTTCAGTAGTTAATTTTGTTTTTGCACTAAAATCTCCTATAAAACCATCTTGATCTCCCGATTTTTGAAATTTCAATAAACCTATAATTTTACATTTTAATATTTATCAATTTTACATTTAATATTTATCAATTAACATCAAAAAAAATATAATTGTTTATAATACCTTTATTAGGTATAAGTTTAGCAGCCCACAATATTTCTTTTATTTTCAATTTTTCACATATATCACGATGATCTTCTGTATAACTATTAAGGAATTGAATAAAATACTTAGCTGCAGCAATAACATTATCATTGTCAATTGAAATTTCTTGCCAATTAAGACATGCACACCAATGTGGTTCTATAAATGCATCCGCACAAGTTCTATCTAATGGTATCTGTATTATCATGTATATTTATTAATTTTTAAATTTAAATATAATTAAATATTAATGTTATATTTAATCTATAGCAAAAAATAAAAACTGTGTCACTATAATTTTATTTGGAAACATTTATGCGAAAAATCAATGATTGCTTAATAGACATTATAAATATTAAATATAATTTTTAATTTATCTACCTTATCAAATAAGCTAATAGCTCTTTGATGACGATCTCCAGTTTTTGGTGTTTCAAAATTTAATATACTTTCCAATGTTTTGTGAATATCAAATGGAGTTGTTAAATAGCGTGTATTATGTAAAAAATTTGCATAAGCTTCTGGATAAACTTTTTTAAACCACAGTGGAAATACAAATGAAAAGTATGGTAGTCTTTCTTCTTGTTTACCCTGTAGAGTATTACGAATTTCTGCAAACCTTAAAAATAAAATTTTCAATATTACAAATATATGTTTTCAATATAAAGTTTTCAATATATTAAGAATAAAATTTTTATAATATAATACAATATTCAAAATAAAATTTTATTCAATTCAATTTCATATATTATACAAACCTATGTCCATGATCACTCATTATTATCAATACTGTATTATTCAAGTGACCAAATTCATGTAAATCTTTTATCCAATTATAGAAATCTTCATCTACCATTCCTATATCATTATAAGAATCATGTGAAAGTTCTCCATGAAATCCAAACAGAAATTTTGGTTGATGTTTATAAACATTAAAAATTTCTTTAATATAATTCAACATTACCTACAAGAGTAATAAATTTAATGATCAAATTAATAATCTTAATATAAAAAATATTAAAATTTGAAATACCATGTGTCTTGGAATGCCTCCAACACAAAATTTATTATAATATCTAAAATATGGTGTGGCAGCCAAATAGAAAGTTCTCATGTAATGATCAGTTGGTTGTTTATTGAAACCCTTTAGACGATATGTAAAAGTTCCAATATGATGAACATCTTCCATAAATCCTGTTATATAACTATTTTCTTTATACTGATTCCATATCATTGGATATACATTGACATACTTTGCTTTTAATCCCATGCGTTTCCTAGTATCTGGAAGTTCAAGTTCAATCTTTCCAGTAAGAATAGGAATAAGAGCTTGTGGTGTTCCATCACCTACTATATTATATCCTTCTAATATTAAAGCATCTAAGTATTCTTTCAAATATTGATATGTTTTTGGTAATTTACGTATAAATGTATTTCTGGATAAAGAATCAAAACCAAACATAAGTACATTTAATTTAAGAGCCTTGTTCCCAACATTTTCCCATTTACTTTTTTCTTTTACTTTAGGATCATCCTTTACTCCAACCATGATACTATGCCATCTAAAAAATTTTGTAAGAAATAAATTAATCAATAGATAATAATCAATAGATTATTATTTTTAATATATACTTATTTTAATATATACTCATTTCTATTTTGTGATTCACATTTAACATCAACAAAATCACTGTATTTTAGAACATAGGAATCATCAGATTCAATAGGAGTCATAAATGATACATTATAATCATCATCTCTGAGAATTTCTGTAAATGTAATTGAAACAATTATAAAATACAATAATATAAATATTATAAAATATTATTATAAATGTGTAAATTTCACAAAATTTACCACTGAAAAGACAAGTTATAGATCCATATTTTTTTTTTGCTTTATTACTAATAACCAATCTTGAGCCACGAAGAATAACCCAATCTTCTGGTGTACATTGCAAGGGAGAAACATCATGAATGAATTTGGTAATTTCTGGATTAGAAACATCTAATTGAGGTAGTTTACAAGCCACAATTCCTTCCCTAAGGACATACGAACCTTTCTACTTTTTTTTATCTAATAAAATTTTTCTAATAAAATTAATTGTATACCCAATATAAGGTTGTTCAGATTCCTTAATTAACTGAGATATGTGTATTCTGAAATGATATAAGTTATGATATAAAATATGAATTATAATATAAAATAGTTCATTCTTATATTGAAATGAATAAAATATTTACTTACAATTTATCTAAATTTGATAATTCATTATCATTAAATCCTAATTCCAAACGAAAAACTTGAATAACACAAAACAGCAATAAAACAAATAATGCTGTTATTATTAAACGTCGAAAATAACATGACATAATCTTCATTTTTATTTATTATAAAATTATCTAAAAGGCAAAATATTTTTTTCTAAAATATTTTCTTCATCCAAAATATATATCTATATTGTAAAATACAATTAAAATTTAATGTAATAAAAATAACAAATAAAAGTATTTATTCATAGATATACAAATTTATTATAAATATTAATAATTAATTTAATTAATCAATAATTAATCAATTTAAGTAAAACAAAGTATTAAAAAATAATAAAGAGTAAATATATAAATACAAAATTTTAAGTTTAAAAGAATAATCAAACAAAACATATAAAATATAATCTTAAAAAAATAAATGAATACAGAAATTATATAAGTTTAATTTTATTAAAATCAAATAAAGTTATATATAACAATAATTTTATATTGTTTCAACAGACCATTGTATAAAATCCTTTCCTAAAAAATTAACTAATAAGAATCTATTTTTACAAAATATAAATTTAATACGTATACTTCATGAAAATATATAGAATTAACAAGTTTGATCTATAATTAAGTGTGTGAAAAATGACAACATTTCGTTTCTCACAAACTTAATTGATTCTTTTTTAAAACAATCCTTAGGTTAAAACAACTTTAGGGCTTAATAAATAAATAATTAATCTATCGTGACTTTTTTTTTTTACCAGTTTTCTAATAATGTCACAAATAATGTCTTCAATTTATATCATTAATTATACCCTTTTTCATTTTTCTATTTTCTTATTTTTTTTTCATTCAATAATAAGATCATAAACTATAATTAATCATATAAGATATTTCTTGAAATTTGTTTTTTTCTTTCTTCTTTCATTGTATATTTGCCTTCTTTTAGAATTTCTTTTTGGAAATTTATCACATCATGTTGAAACAGCGAAAAAACATTGGCGAATATTGACATACTCTATCTTTCCCGTGAAACTGAGAATTAAGTTCAGTTTTGAACTATAGATATAACTACCATTAGGGCGCGTCATTTGAGAAAAATACATAGAAAATATATCTTGATATGCATGGATATAAAAAGAGAAAAATACAAATTAAATCTTTAATGTATTTACGACGTTACAAAACATCATCACATCATATATTATCTTTGTTACACACAATTTAAAATTTATCATGTGCGATGACATTATATAATTTTTAAAATTAATTTTTTCTTTTATATAAAATTATTTACAATAAAATTATTTACAATAATTAATGGAAATATACATTATTAAACACTTATTATAAGATTGGATCATTTAAAAAATTAAAAATGCTTCTACTTCAATCACAAAATAGAAAAGCACATATTTTTATCCTACAATTATTCTATATTAATTTACATTTGATTACTTCTTATAATATATAAACATATATATAAACATAATATAAACATATGATTTCATAATATTAAATATTTATCAATTTCACAATATTTCTTTTTTAAGAATATATTGTATTTGAAATTCTGTAATAGTATATGTATAGCATTTAATAGATTATAATAAAATAATTAAAGAATCAGTAATACAGTAATACTTGAAAATATTTTTTGAAATTTCTTATTATTTTAATTATAGAAATTGATTTATATGCTTGAACTCATTTTAATATAATATAATTAAGACAATTTCGTAATATCAATTAATATCAATTTTTATATTATAATAACATGAAAATCATAAAAATTTAATTTTTTATAGATTAAAATGATAATTGATCAATTCTTATTTTATTCCGTCAAAGACTGGTTTATTTAAATTGTAATAAAT